AGGGTTCCATTCACCACCCGGAGTCACGGAGGAGAGGATCCTGCTCCAGGCTGTACCCTCAAGGGAACCCCTGCTCCCGGTTAATTTGATCTTTGCGCATTAAGATTGCGCTTCCGGTGAGTGGGCAATCTTTCTATATTCACCTTGATCGCACGCCACCGGATTTCAAGGTCTATATATACACGGGGAGATATTTATATTGGTCCACCGTTCACCAGTGGGGTTAATCACTACCACCTGATTTGCTATTCTGGACAATATATTGTTTATTGAATTTGAATCTTATTTATGAATGGTTCATTATTTTTACATCTTATTGGTGATTATTTGTTTAGCGCTGCACTACGTTTATGATTGGTTCATCTGAGAAAGTTTGTGGTTACTTTTTTGGTGCATTGGACTGCTACAGTAAGAGCTTGCTTTACATTCTTGTCCTGACGGTACTCTACCTTCTAACAACTAAAGTCTATGAGTCAGCTGACAAAAAACAATGCACTCCCTGTGTGGCTGATATTTCAGACATTTTTGGAAGAGAAGCAACAGCTACAGCCCAGGTCCGCTGCGCTTCAGCTTAAGAATGAGGCTTCAGTGCCAGAAATAAGCACTTCTTCCTCTCCTTGGCTGCCAGTGGCAGGAGAGAGAGAGCCTGTGCAGCCTGTAAAAGTATTTTAGACCCGGGGTGTCAAACTCAGTTTCATTGAGGGCCGCATTAGCATTATGGTTAAGGGCTGTATCTGTAAGACTAGATGTCCAGGGCATCCCACCCCCCTCTTACATCAGATGTCATGAGCAGGGGCTAATTGACAATCAAAAAAGCCTATGAAAAAGGTACCAGGGGCATCTCGTGGGGCCCCATACTGACCCCGGGCCCTCGGACAGTGCCCCCGAGTTTCCAAATGGTCAGTCTTCCCCTGGTCATGATGAGACCCCCCCCCCCCCACCATCAGAAGTCAAGAGTCCCCCACCCTCCCTTACAACACAGTGCACCCCCTTTTGCTTGTGCTACTTCCAGGAAGATGTTGGGGATGGAGCTGGGAAGTAGAAAGTGCAGAATGTGGAGGAGGACCAGAGGATGGTTGGAATCAGCTGCCGGAATCTGCTTAATGCTGAGACCAAGGGAGACGGAGACGAGGGGGTGCTGCGGCACAGAGAGGCTCAGGATCTGTGGGAGGAGTTCTCTCCTCCTCTCTGCTGCTGACTCCTGAGGCCCGGAGGGGGAAGAAAGAAGCCTCTCCAGAGAAGTGCAGGATCTGGTGGAGGAGTTCTGTCCTCCTCTCTGCTATCGATTGTTGAGATACGGTGAGGGAAGAGACGAGGGGGGGTGCCGCAGCTGCAGGAGGGGTGCGAGGATACATAAAATGGCCTGAGGGGCCAAATTCAGCCTGTGGGCTTTGTGTTTGACACAGTGTTGTAGGAGAAACAGCATAATTATTCTAAGCCACTAACCATCTGTGCAGCCCTGAGTCCACGGCACTCCCACGTGTGAATGAAACTGCCAGTGCCTCTGCAGCTGCTTTTGTGTGTTCAAACCACCACATACCATGTGCCATATTTTGTGTTAAGAAGGCCATGCTCTGGACATTATTTGCCATTGTTGGAGAATTTTCTGAAAGTAATACGAGACCCTGTAATAGCATAATGACACATTTTAACCAGTCCTTCCACCTAGCCATCTACAGTTGCAAGAAAAAGTATTGTGAACCCCTTGGGATTACGTGGAGTTTTGCATGAATTGGGCATTCCTCCCTGCACTGTGAATGTTTACATGTTATGTGCAATTAAACCATGGCGACATCTAATGTTTGTGCAGTATTATGTTCAGCAGACTGTGTTCTTCTATTGTTGTGACTTAGATGACGTTCAGAGCACATTTTATGCCCAATTCATGCAAAACTCCACGTAATCCCAAGGGGTTCACATACTTTTCCTTGCAACTGTATTTGCAGCCCCAGGTCTGTGGCGGTCCTACTTGAGAATTAATCTGACAGCACCTCTGCAGACATTGTCGGGACAAAGTCATCCAATGCCCAGGGCAAAGAAGACAAACTGCGCCCCCCCCCACAATCATTGTGTGCGAGCTTAGGGGCCGCTACCCCCAGAAGTCATCCACTGTCAGAATGCCTTGTGTCAGAATGAGCTCACTGGTACCCCATCCATACAGTAAAACTGCTATGCCCAGGGCAGACACCCGTCCTGCCCACCCCTTGTCCTGGCCCTGTCTGCAGCCCCTAGCACAAGCCTTTCTTGACTCCTTGGCTGCCAGTGAGCAGGAGAGAGGCCACAGGATGCTGTTAATAAAGCTCTTTGCAGACAAATAAATTTAGAAGAGAGACCACCCACTAACCCATGTTGCAGAGGGCACTGTGAATGGATGGTGTGCAGTCTGGGAGGAAAAGGACTGCTGGGAATTGCCTGGAACTTTGGGGAAATGTAGTCCCAAGAGACAAGGCCATCTTTAATATTGAATGGACCCTGGGCAAAAACATTTTTCTTGGGCCCCCCACCCCACATGCAATTTTTGCTCTCCACCTGCTCTGAGACATACAATATAAATAGCAGCTAGATTAAAAATCAGTTTACTGCAGCAGATCAGGCAGTGATTGCGATTGGTTGCCAGAGGCCACAGCATATCATTATCTCTCACTGATTAGTTGCTAGAGATGACAGCACATCATTTCTGCTTGCTGATTGGTTGCTAGAGTTCAATGCACATCATCACCACTCACCCATTGGTTGCTGGGGCTGGGGGGGGGGGGGGGGGGGGGAGAGTGTGATCAGTGGTGGTAGTGGTGGTGGTGGGGGTATATGGGATGAGTAGCAGTGCTGGGGGTGATGGGATCAGTGGCAGTACTGGGGGGAGGGTGTGATCAGAGACAGTGCTGTGGGATTGATGGAATCAGTGGCAGTGCTGGGGGGGATGACATCAGTGGCAGTGCTGGGGGGGGGTGACATTAGTGGTAGTGCTTAGGGGGGGGATGGGATGAGTGTCAGTGCTGGTGGGGATGATATAAGTGGCAGTGCTGGTGGGGGATGACATCACTGGCAGTGCATGGTGGGGGATGGGATGAGTGGCAGTGCTGGTGAGGGGATGAGATCAGCAGCAGTGTTTGGGAGGATGGGATCAGTGGCAGTGCTTGATGCAGTTTGGGATCAGTGGCAGTGCTAGGTGGGAATCAGCAACACTCACTTGCTGTCATCTGTATTGGTGGGGGGGGGAGAGGGTGGGATGAGAGAGAGAGGGAGTGAGAGAGAGAAAAGGGGTGAGGAAAAAAAAAGATCGTATGAGAAAGGGGGGTTTAAGAGAAAGGTGGTGAGAGAGGGTGGGTGACAGAGAGGGGGGGTGAGAGAGCGGTGAGAGAGAGGGGTAGGAGAGAAAGAGGGGTGAAAGATAGAGAGGGGGTTAAAGAGGGGGAGGAGGGGGGGTAGGTGGGGTGGAGAGGGGGGAGAAGGGTGGGAGAGAAAGAGGGGGGTTAATACTAGAGAGAGGGGTGAGAAACAGAAGGGATTTTGAGAGAAGTGTGAGAGAGAGAGGACCCCTAGCCCTTCTCATGCAGTTCCTACTGTTGCCTCCCTGTTTTGTCCCTTTGTCTTGTGGGTGTGTGTGTTGTGATGCTTGTACCTGGCATGCCAGGCAGGGTCCTTTCTCATTCTGGCTGATCTGCTCCTTTTCTGCCTCTATGGTCCCTGGCTAACTGTGCTCTTGCCCATCCTTGTCCTCCAGGCCCTGGTCAGCCTGTCCGCCTAGTGGCTGTCACTGTTGTCGAGGCTATGGCTGGGATGTGTCCATGCACTGGGTAAGATTCCATCGCCATTTAAAATACTGCAACCATTGCTTGCTCTCCTTTCCAGGGGTCAGGGAAGTGGTGGAGGTCTTCTCCTTCCTGGGTTCTTAATCCTAGCCACCTTTGATGCTCGCCTTGCCCCCCTGCACCCACCGCAACCAGGAAGGGTGAGGGAGCCTTACCTACAGGCAGCTTTGCTGGAAAAGAAGATCTCTACTGTACCACCGTCTCCTGGGGAGGACATCCTGAACAGCAGAGAAAGGAGCCAGCCCAGCGAAGACATAAAAGACCTGAAAGCCAGGCCACCACCCCACTAAACCTGAGAGAAAGGACTGTGTGACTACTACATACACCCCTTGGGGCTGGTTAAAAGGGAGAGGGAAGTCAGGTGAAAGTGGGAGACCCAACTAGTTTCTCATACCGGGACTGAGGCTCCATGTGCTAAATTGCAGCTTCTGGGCCCCCTTGCCCAGGGAATACCCTCAGTGCAGCTGGGTGAGGATGAATCATCTGGGGTCTGAGGAGGTACATACACTAGGATGAGTCATTTGGGACTCTTTCAAGGAAAGAGACTGTTGCTATCCACATTTTTGTACATAGTTACTAAGGAGTTTGTCCTCAGATTCGGCAGTATCCTGGGCATCCCATATACCCCGATAACCCCATCCAGTTTCTCTTAACTCTCTAACAAAAACACAAAACCAAGCTCAAGGACTGTTCTTTGACTGAAGTGTGCAAAGCTTAGAAAAATGCATGTTGCATGGCTGTGCAGAGCTTAAGGGGGCCCCACAAAACTCAGCAACTCCTAAGGGTAGGTAGGTAGGTAGTGTAGTGCTACACTATTAAAATCAAAGGACTGGTGAACTTTTGTGTTGTTTTTTATTCCTGATCTAGAAGTGCCACCAGTTTACTGATATTCATATATATATATATATATATCTTCCAGTTAGGGCATCAAACTTCTCTGCCCTCCAATTTTCTTTGGGGGTCCTGAGGAAAGCTAATAAGCAAAACACGTCGACCTCTAGAGGACATAGATGTCACAAATACAGAATGCTGTGATTAATTGAGCTCATAAGTATCTACTACTCTTTTTATAGAAAATGTTGGAAGATGCGTTTCAATAAAACATGTTTTATACAGTGACATGAGGTTGTCCATTTTTTGTACCAGTGAAAAGTCCCATCTTTTTTTCTTGTTTTTTTTTACCTGATATACAGGGGCAGAGGACTGATTATTTGGAAACTCGGGCACTGCACCCGTAGGGCCCAGGGTCAGTAGGGGGCCCCATGAGATGTCCCCTGGTACCTTTTTCATAGGCTTTTTTTGAGTATTAAGGCAAGGACAACAGGGGCCCATGATCCCCTATTGCCCAGGGGCCCCATGAGTTGTCCAGTCTGTCCCCTGCTGATAAATTAGGGATGAGGGTCGATGTTTGGCCGTCGATGTTCTATATAAAATACTAAAACACACAGTAAACTAAATAGCAGTACCTCTGAAGGAAATTGGTTCCACTAGAATTTAGTTAGGCGTCATCAGAGTAAAGGGGGCTGAATACAAATGCACACCACACTTTTCACAGATTTTTTTTAAAAAATGTTGAAAACCATTTATCCCTGTTCCTTTCCACGTCACAATTATGTGCCACTTTGGTGTTGGTCTATCACTTCAAATCCCAATAAAATAGATTTACCTTTTGGTTGTAACATGACAAGATGTGGATAAATTTCAAGGGGGTAGGTTTTCGAGGCACCATAATTCAAAAGGGTTCCAGCAACCATAAGGAAGACACTGGCAGTAACTGACTCAATTACACAAAAAATAAATCAGTTCCATCTTGAAAAGCTTCTATTAAATGAGATTTTACTTCAGATGTAGAAGGAAGAGAGTTTTATCCAATGTGTTAGTATTAATCCCTTACCTCTAATTAAGATGTAATTCATTTGGTCTATTAATAGTCAATGGACAGGAACAATCAGTACAGTTCTAAGGGAAACAAGAACAATAAACTTTTGGGTATCTGTAAGAAGATTCATTTTAAACTCCCAACTGCCTGACACAAATGTGCGTTGGCCAAAAAAGTTGGGCTTTAATGGCCCCATGCCACACGTATACATGGGTGGGCAATGTTTATGTGCCGAGAGCGTGCTCACTGTCCATTCGCAGCACAAAGGCCTTGGTCTCGACTAAAGATCAGTAGCTGGAGGTACCGCTTCTGATCATGTGACCCCTGTGACACTAGTCACATGATCGCCATCCTTCCTACCCCTCAGGCGCTCTAGAACTGTTTAAAGAGACAGGAAGGGGATCCTTTGAACATTAGATTTATTTTATCTGCTGTAGTAGTCTTTAATCCACAAAGGTTTCCTTTCTTCAAACCACCACATACCAAGTGCCAACTTTGTGTTAGAAAGGTCACGCTTTGGACATTATTAAAATAGTTGGAGAATGTTCTGAAAGAAATATTAACCTTTTGGCGCCAACAGTGTAAGCCGTGTACCGGGGTGGGCTCCCCAAAATACAGTGAAGTCACGAACTAGGGAAAGCAACCCCAATACCAACTTTTGCCACAACAGAATTTTACTTAGATGTGGCAAATAAACACAACCACAAATGCTGGAATATACAATAAATTTTACATACACCCAGCCCAAAGGCTGAGACCCTTGTGTTGCACAGGACAGCGCCTTCTGATGGGTGAAGGTAGAGAGTTTAGTAATTTACCTACTGGGGGCACAACTAAGCTGCCACACCTTACCTGTTACTTACCCTCAAAGAGCAGGAATCAGTGGTGTGTGTATGGGTGTATGGTATGGGCTAGCCTGCGGTGCAGCATAACAGCTTACAATCTTACACAAATCTACCGTATTCCCCCTCCCATAACTGGTCCTGTAGCACATGCCTGAGTATTCCTTCTGAGCAAAACGCCAGTCTGGCTTGAGTTTGTAGGATTTTTATCAGCTCTCCAATGTGAAATGTCACTTTAAGTCGTTGGTGTCATTCCAATAATCAGTAACAACACTTGTGGCCGGACACAAACAGAGACCCTAACTAACTAACTATAGGCCTGGACTCAGTCTCAAGGCGCCAACACTGAAATGAGGTGTGTGCACGATCTTACCGACCCGGGTCTGCTTTGCATCCGCTGGTGACTCTGAACAGAACAAATGTTTCTCCAACAAGCATGCGGTCTTGCCGTATATGTTACTTAGTTCCTCTGCTCTCATCAGCTTTCCTGGCAGCAATCTCATCAGCATTCCTGGCAGCAATCTCATCAGCTTCCTGGCAGCAATCTCATCAGCTCACACGGCCCCTTCATTCAGCATCGTCCAAAACATGGCTGCAGTCTCCTCTTCCTGTTCACTAAACTCCAACTCTGTGTGCAAAACCCCACCTCTTCATGAATATACAAATATCTAAGCAGTCTGAGCTGTGTTAGAAAAAACAGTGACATCTTGTGGCTAAACCGCAGAATGTCAGTCAAAACATTAATTTACTTCCACACAAACAGTGTTCAAACAATGAGAGCTGTTTCCCCCATTTCACAACAGTACGCAAATATGTGGCCTCTCAGTGGCTGAGGCTTGGACGCCTAGCAGCCGAATTTTGGCATACCAAAAGTAAACGGGCTGCACAGTGGCTAATATGGTTAGCACTTCCGCCTGGGCAGTACTGGGGCCGTTGGTTTGAATCCCAACCACATGGCAACACCTGCCTGGAGTTTGCATGTTCTCCCTGTGCCTGCGTGTGGGTTTCCTTCAGGCACTCCGGTTTCCTCCCACACTCCAAAGACATTGCTGTGGTAGGTGTAATTGGATCCTGTCTAAATTGTCCCTAGTATGTGTATGTATGAATGTGATGAGTTAGGGACCTTAGATTGTTACACCCCTTGAGGGTTAGGGACTGATGTGAATGTACAATATATATATCTAAAGCGCTGTGTAATTGACAGCGCTATATAAGTACCTGAAATATAAATAAATAAAAATAAATAATAAACAAACATGGGCCGAGAGCACGCCCCTCGGCGCTCCTGGCACAGTTACTGGAACCTCATGTAAAGGTTCCCGATCGCTACCTTTCCGATGCATGTGACCTATGTGACAGAGAATCATGGCAGTCACATGTCCCTAGAAACTGCCCCACTTCCCCGGCGTCACAAATCCCCTGTAGGGTCGGGAGACGCTGGCGCCAAGAGGTTAAACCCTGTAAAAGCATATGGGACATTTTTAATGAGTCCTTCCACTTTGCTTGGTCAATCGGCTGCAGGGGAGAATGTTTTTTTTTTTCAGAAACTCACGTTTTGATTAACTTTGTGCATATGCCTAGACAGCAAAGAACATAGGGAAAAGGTACAGAGCTGGCTGGAGTCGCTCTGTACCTTGAGTTTGCTGTGACGGCCAATTACAGCTATCAGAAATGTTAGCAGTAGCACAGTTTACACATTGGAGAGCTGTTCCTTTTTTTTAGTGTTTTTTTTCATTTTAAAGGAAAGCTTTATCTGTCTTAAAAAATAATTCACGTAGAATTTTCATTTGAGTAAGTGTTGGATAACAGAGTAATTGTCCATCAAACTATCACCGCAGTGTAAACCTAGTGAAAATTGGCCTGGACAGGGAAGACGTGTAACATGCTGGTATTGAGGTAGTTAACTGTACCGGTATACCTCAGTTTACTAATGCCTCAGTTAACATAGTTTTCGGTTTACGATATGAAAATCCATTGAAAATAATACCTCGGTTTACAAATTGTTTACAATTTTTTTCACAATATGAAGTGTATGTCAGTGCCGATTTTTAAATGCAATTGCCAGCTTTTTTTTCTCTTTCACTATAGGTCACAGAATTTAGCTGTCACTTTCCCGGGAGCTAAAAGATACTTTGTATCGTTTTTATCTCAGGAAACAAACTAAAAGGAAAACATTGTTTCTTTTATCTTGGGAAACCAAACTAAAAGGAAAGACTTCTTTCTTTTAGCTGGGGGGAAAAGTGTGACAGTGATTCTCTGAGCTATAGTGAAGAAAAATAAAAGTCAGTAATTACATTTTTAAAAAACCGGCACTGGCCTATCGAGTGGACAGCAAACTTTTTTTTTTACTTTTTTCTGACCTCCAAACGGATTAATTGGTTTTGCAATGCATTCTTTATGAATTTTTCACTATACAAAAAAATCGTTGCAGAGAACGCATTAAATTCGTTAAACTGAGAGGTACACCTGTACTTTTTTTTTAGTTAAAATAACAAGTAAAAATGTTTCTAATCTCGGGATGTCATGTTCCTAACCAATTCTTGTGTCCGAGGAGCAAGTGGGTTATACCAGGGATAGCAGCTGCAGCCATGACCCTGCTATCATTTTTTAATGTCACACTAAAGGATGTTTTTAAATCAAATAACAAACAAGTTATACTTACCTGTTCTGTGAAATGGTTTTTGCACAGAGGAACCCTGATCCTCCTCTTCTGGAATCTTTCACTGTGGCACTCCTGGCTTGCCCCCCCCCCTTGCTGAGTGCCCCCATAGCAATCTCCATTTGCTATGGGGACACTCATAACGTGCTTGTTCCCAAGCCCCACTCTGTGTGTCGCATCATTGACCACAGAACGGGGATCAAACCTTGCCCCCTGATCCCCTTTTTTTTCCTCACTGGCTTTGATTGACAGCAGCAGGAACCAATGGCTTCCCACTGCTGTGTCTGAGTCAATGAGGAGGGAGAGAGCAGCCACTCTCGTGCACATTACTGCATTGGGACCGGATTCAGGTAAAGTAAAAAGATGGGCTGGGGGGGGGGGGGGAGCCGCACACAAGGTTTTTTACCTTCATACATAGAAGGCATGAAGATAAAAAAAACCTTCAGCCATTAGAACCACTTTAAATCCAGCGAACATCTTACCTGGTTAAAGTGATTGAGCACCTCTACAGCTGCTGATGTGCACAATTTGACAGGGTGCAGAAGGCATTGCTTCCCCTGACAAATGAAGCCGAAAGTGATGTGTATTGCGTCACTTACGGTTTCGGTTGTTTGATTAACAGCTGTTACTGGCTAGGCAACCATCTGATCAGACTGATATCAGCTTGATTAGATGCTTTCAAGGGCAGAGGAGAGAGATCAGGGGTCTAATAGATATCTGCATAAAGAGTACCTGTCACTGTCCATGCTATCACAAGAGATGTTCATCCCTTGTGATAGCAATAAAGTTGATCCAAAAAAAAAATGTAAATGAAATTAATTAAAATTTAAAGCACCCCCTTCCCCCTATACTCGCTCACAAATGCGAATGCACATGTAGGTCCCGTGCGCATGTGTAATGGGTGATTTCACCACACAGGTGAGGTATTGCCATAGACGTCACAATGACAGCAATGAGTTTTTAGCACCAGAACTAATGTTTAACTCTAAACTGGTAACTTGTAAAGGCTTTTAAAGCATTGCCTATGAAGATTTTGAGGTGCTGTCGTTTGCCGC